ACCGGGCTCAAGACTTGCTGAGCCTGCGGTATGGCGCTCTCAGCACGAGTCGAGTATGATGTAAACGTTGGACGTACCCGGTATGCCTCCGGTATATGGATTGTAGTGGTTGTTTGGTTGTGGTTGGGCTGCCGAGCGTCGGCGTACGGAGAGTACATGGTGCTCGTCAAGAGTGAGATGAAGCTTGTCTCGGATTATGGAGCGGATGTGGGTTGCAGAAGTGGTGGGGATGGGTGGAAGAGCGAGGGAGCAAACTGAGTTGTGATCAGCGTTGGTGTGCGGTTTAAGAGTCCCGTGAGCGCTCAGAGCCACAAAGGGCCATCAACCCGTGTCACGTGCCCCGTTGATTGTTGGACTTGCGGCTGAACCACCGCCATCATCGCAATGGGCGACTCAACGCGCCAGAACTACAGTGTGTTGTATTATTTACAGTGGATGAGGCCCTGGAAACTCACACAACGCCAACCTTCTGCCGCAGGTTGCGCGTACCGGTCGTACCGCATCCATCGCTGGTTCCTACGCTCGTCATCCCATCGAGCTAGACGGGTGAAGCACGCTCCCTTTCTCCATTGTATGCATACTAACGATGCACCTCTAGTTCTGAACCTGAAACTATTCCGATTCATCTCTCGATAGAATGCCCGCAGAAGAGCACTCTTCAGCTAGTGGAACATCCCGACCGTCGCTCGTCCTCTGTCCGGCCATCCTTATCCCGCCATCACTCGTTTCGAGCGCCGTTGCACGCTGGTTGTCGCCCTGAGCAATTGCCTACTGCGAGAACGTTTTGGACAACGCCGGACGTCTCCCTCTCCTTGGAGCAGCGGAAGAGTTGCCGGTGGGAGCTCGGAGGATGATCCGCTCGAGGTACCGCAAGACCTGCTAGGCGTAGTCGCTGACCACGAGATGCCGCGCGTTGATCCTAAGGCCGCTTCCGTTCAGCAGCATAGTGGACATAGTGTGCACGACGGTGGAGCGCTTCCAGTACGCATACTTCGCGCAGTGTGTAGCATAGAGCTGATATTCTACTTCTAGGTCGTCGAGCGCCCGTCGTGACGGTATCGTACGATGAAGACTTGGACCTTGAGGGCCGCCTCCTAGGTATGTTCTCATCCTGTTCCTTTTTTTCCCATATGAGCCGCGCTCATGATGACCGACGCCAGAGAAACATACATGCAGATCTTTGTCGCGATACTCTAGACGGCCCAGCTTCTCTGACCAGGGTACGTCTTCTATAACACTGACTCCCCATGCTCGGCTCTGATATGCCGATGGTCCTTTCTAGCGCTCAGTATTAGTCAACGAAGAGAGCAGGCGCCGCCCGACAATGTCGCTGGCTGGTGTTGCTTGAATATAACTGCTAGAACGTCTTACTGTAGTTATCATACGGTCTTGACTAATGTACCGGTACGTCTTCTTGAATAGCTCAAGCTGGGTCCGCTTTGAACGACAGTGTGAACACGCGCTTGATGGTAGTTTGATCCCTGCATCGACCGGCGACGGCCATGCGCTCCGTCATCGGGCTTGACATGCTTGACAGCAGGTTCGCAGTGAACTGAAGTCATATATGTATATAAGCAAGGCTTACAACGTTTACAACGGAAGGTGTCACAGAATTGACAACTGCTCTAACGCGTTCATATACATCGCGAACAGACTCAACAATTTAGTATCGCATACATCACGCCGGCGCCGCCGTGCTCATGAACGAATGAACGAAGAGGCCCCTAGTAGTGTTCATGACATCAGCACGTACCACCACCCGAGCATGAGTACCTGCACACACCATTAGGTGTCATGAGAGAGCGCCTCAGTCAGCTCCCTTGCACGCCACACCAGTGCAGATGTTCTGGTGAGTGGGCGTGGCTGGCGCAGGTTCGGCCACGGCGCCAGCGATGCTGACGAACGCGCTGAGTGCAACGACGGCAAGCTTGAGATTGAAGAGCATAGCAGTGAGAATGGAGTACAGTGGGTCTGGTGTGAGGCGGATGGTGTCGCGCTGGTCTTGGGATAGACCCCGCGAGGATGACCTTTATATCGAGGCGCGGTCATATTGGGATTCGCTGGATCGAACTGCGAGGCGGCTCGACCCCATGCGATGTTCTGGGTGACTGTAACCGGCTGAGGCATCATATTCGCTACATACACCCTGCAAAGCGGGTGCACTGTTGAGAGCCGCGGGATCCATCAGTCCAAGATGCTACAAGTACACGGTGCTCCCTGTGTAACACGGAACCATGAGCCGGATGAGTCAATGAAAGCAAATGGGTGCGGCAGAAGGATTGGCTTGTAAGCGCTGACGCGCTGACAATTGAAATGCACCGCATACCATGATTCCATGCTGGTATACCGAGTACCTGTCATTCACAGGACATGTCGTGGGTATCGGCGTCCCGTCGGCGGGCTAGGAATATGAGGCAGACCAATAGAAGGCCCTAGTAGTCATCACAGGTCTCAACAGAGCACGCGTGGCGGACGGCGGCGTGGTATACTCCAAGGGGATGAGCTTAGAGTGCGGTACGTCTCTCTGACGGCTGGAGATGACCGTACTGGAAGATCATGGTGGTGGAAGGCCGAAGTGGGATTCCTAGTCGCACTCAGGTCAGTGCGTGAGAACGAGCTCGACGCGTGTCAGGGGCATTCGGCAGTCTCGGTCGCTTGAGCCGCCGCGCGCATCTGTTGCCCCTCGGGTGAGTCCTGCTCTTTACCTCAGGGATATACCCCGCGTTCTTGTTCATCTATCTCATGGGTCTCATCATATCATAGCCGGGGACCCGCCGCGTTGACTCCTCAGCATGAAGAGATGGGAACAGGGTGGACATTTCCAGTCGAGATACAAGTCGACATAAATAAACTCCATGTCACAGGGATAATATCAGCCGACGATAAGCAGACATCGCCTACATAAGCGCGAGTAGCTTTACTGTGATAGCCACGCATACAGTAAATAAGCTTGACAATCGAGCGTTGAGTACATCCTGCCACGCCCGTGGATGGACGAATAGAGGCTCTACCTGAACCAGTTTCACGACATCAGCACGCGCCGTCACCCAAAGGTACGCGATTCATCCGCACTGACCATCACAATAATGGAAGCGAGCATTCATTTATTGACATGGCACGCTGCTGGGTCTATGCCGCAGATGTTGCCCGGCCCGCCGGTGTCAGAACTGGATGGCGCGGCTACGGCGCTGCTGGCGAAGACGCAGAGAGCGGCAACGGCTTGGAGCTTGAAGTTGAAAAGCATAGTGGAGAGCGGTGTTCGTTTGCAGGGGTGAATGCGGTGTTGGACCTTCAGCATCGCTTGATGGACATGGTTATATAGCAGGGCGTGGTTAGATCAGGATACGAGTTGCCGAACCGTGTAGAGCGGCTCTATGTCCCGCACGGTATTCCTTGGGTATACATATGGATTATAGCATCGTAGTATCTACGTACGCATTGTAGAAGCACAGGAGCTGTCGAGAACCGCGGGATTCATCAATCGAATATGTCAGGTGCCCTACAGCATTAAACAATCAGCCAGACCTGTTCGGCGAAAGCAAGTAGGCGACCATACCGAAGCGGCGGGAGGCACGTGTTGCATGCGCTGACGAACGGTGCGCACCTCACGCCCATCGAACAGGCTCGATCGAGTACATGTCGCGGGTATGAGCGTCCCATGGGCGGGCTGGGAATATGCGGGACGCATCGGTCACCATACCATTGTCCTGTACCCGTCGTGATTTATCGTGCAATCTGCGAAGAAGGCGGCAACTGGGAGCTCTTTGACAAGTCACGGCTTGGCGAATGGGTCTTCGTCGCACAGGACTCGATCATTTTCGTCGCCACCAATTCGGCACTAGATCTCGACGACGCGGGGCGGGGTCTCCGGAGGATGAGGCGAGGCAGGAAGCGTGCAGCTTAACGGTCTCGACTGATGCGCGGGACTGAATAAATGGCATCTGACGGATGTGGTAAATTCCGTAGGACTTGGTAGCTTCGTGGTGGCGCTCGCTATTGCTCATCCGGATGTAGGCGGTGGCTTCGGTGTACCGTGTGTGTGAAGGCGGGCTGTGGAGTACGCGCGTCGAGGGCGAGACTCGCGTATAGCGTGCTTTGCAGAGGCGCGGCGCGGCGCGGAGGCAGCAGGAGGATAGAGGTGGGGGACGGTGGGGGCGGCTGGTCGAGTGTTCTGTGTCGGCGTCAGTTTCCATATCGTCCTCAACAGCTGCGTAGACCAGACCTACTTACTCTTTATCCGCTTCTTCGTCACCCTCTCTATCCTCTGGTTGAACTCGATTGCTGGGGCGCCCATCCGCATAGTCCTTCCAAAATCCGCAAATGCTCCTCGCGGTATGCTCATCTCGACGGCAAGCGCGAGTGCATCCAGGGTACTTGGGCGCTTGCTCTTCCCGAAATGGAGTAGGTAGGGCACAACGGGACTGTCCTCGTGCGGCCGTCCTCACATGGAGAAGGATCGTGATGGCGTGCGTGGCAGTGCTTTTGAATGTGGTGTTATACCCAGGCGCGAGCGCCTCGGAGTGGTGTGCGCATTTGTTCATTTTGACGGAGCGTACGGCTGGTTCTTAGTGAGGGGTGACAATAGCAGCGGTATATGGCGTGCGACCCGGACACCGCAGCCGCAGAGTCGCTCTTGGGGGCATTGTCCACGAAAGACGTATCAACGTGCTTGCGCGTCAAAGACATGACCGGCGCGGACGCGCGTTGTTGAAGAAGCGCAGACGGCCTTGTGGCGACATGGTAGATCTAGAAACAGTAGACCTGAAAAGCGGTACAGCTTCTAGACTATTCGAAAGCATCGTGCTGGGGTGTACAGACGGTACGAAGTTCATGGGTTCCCGTCATGGCGGTAGAAAGCCAAGCTGGGATCTCCGGCCGAAGTCCATAATGATACAAACCACACAACCTCCTGCGGACAAGATCGTCGTGCTGTGGCAATACCGTGCGGTCTACAGCACACGAACGTGAAGGGCACTGTGCCATCAAGACAAATACGAGGAATTACGGATGCAAACCGCGCCGGGGTCCTGCGGATTGGCCCGCGCGCGGACCGAAACGCGTCTTGCTTCCGACTTCCGCACGGCAAACCACGGTGGTCGGCGTCAAATCCACAGCGGCCCAGCCGACGATGACGATCCACAGCGGCCCAGCCGTCGGCGATGGTGGACCGGAGATACATAGGGAGCGATGTTCTCCCGACTACTTTGCCAGTTATATCGCACAGTCCTGTGAGTCGCCTTGCATCGTCGCGTACTTGCGTGCACCCGATCTCATACCGATAGAGCGCCTACAGACATCAAGCCTCGCCTACAGTACTCGAATCGCGATCTGATGACCAGATATCTAGTATATATCATTGTCCAGTACTTCATCGCCTCACGTATGTCTGCAAATTCGTCGTCTATGATGTACGTGCCGCTGATTTGCATCTATGCGTGTAGGATTCCAGCGCAACCTATATCCTTGGCTTGGATAGAACAAAATGCATGCATGCACAAAACATAGCATGAGCCTCAGGATCCCACAAACCACGCTACGAATGTGGTCTGGTCAGTCACTTGTCTGGACGCCCCAACGCTCGCCAATGCATGAGATGAATGTATATTCATAGATATAGCCGGTTACAACCAGAAGATGCGGTCACAGAGGTACGTCCGTTAATCATTCATCGATAGTCAATGTATCAATCCGTCTCCAGAATACCGCTGTCCAGCCTGCAACACTCCCAAAATCAAGCGGCGCACTCTACGCCCGCTTGCCCTTCCCCTTGCTCCTCGCGTTCGGTCCCACATACTTCGTGCCGGGCTCCTGCCTGTTAGGGTTCTCGTCGCAACACGCTTCGTGACGCTTTACGTGGTTCGTCTCGCCGCGAGACGAGTACGTGCCGCAGAACCTGCAGAAAGCGCCACCCACGACGCCGGGCAATGGTGTTATCTTACCATTGACCCTGACGTGGTTATGGACAGCATGGACGTGGCGATCGCGCGCAACGTAGTCTCCGCAGCTTTTGCCACAGGGAGTGCCGAGCGCGTCGACCCAGAGACACTGCCTCCGACCGTCCTTTTCCTCCGGTTCGTCAAGCATATTCTTGATCTTCTCCTGCTGTTGACTCGTGAGATTCTCCTTGAACTTGTCCGAGAGCCCATACAAGCGCAGGATCGTGGGCTTCTTTGACTTCTTCGTTCGACGGGCAGGGCCGGCCGTTGCCTGCACCGCACCGTGGTGCGACAGCTGTACTCCGTCATTGACATTGTCCCGGATACCTCCCGGGACGATGTTGGTAATTGATGTATGGTTGTTTGCAAACGGGTCTGCGCTAGGAGCGGCGACCCGAGATGGGGGGTATGGCGCGCCGGGGCGCGGATACCCGCGAGTAGTATGGTGTTGGTTGGTACGCACGACGCCTATGCGAATATGGGTCAGCACGGTTGGAGACAACGACGAACAAAAGACGCACCATGCGGCATGCCCACCAACGAGTCACCCAGTGGACCTTC